CTGTCTTTCATGCATCTAAGTTGTTGCCATTTACGCCGGCTGATGCATTCCCAGACAGGCCTCCCCAGTTCGGTTCTCCTATCCCTGGCAAAGGGGATGAGGTCGAAAAGGTGGAGGATGAGTCAGGGACAGGTCCAGATAAGGAGTATCTTGTGAAGTTCTTATACCAGCCACACACTGAAGATAGTTGGTTTACTCGCAAAGAACTCCTGAAGACAGTCAAGTCTGTCATCCTCAAATATGAGGCAGCACAGAAGGGGGAACCCCTTCGGCGCTCTGCACACCTACGCCCCTAGCTCGGAGGTCCTCGTTCCGGGGGAGGGTAGGTCTGCAATGACTTGCTGTTTTCTGGTCACCTGTAGCCTCACTCTGTCGAGGCTATACTTTAGGTAGGTTAGATTCGTAATTTTGTTTGGTTGAGGGCTAACCGAGAGACCTACCTATGAGGGAAATTATTGAGGGATATATCTGCAAATCCGGGAAAATACAGGCCCGATACTAACAGGTTCCCTACAGCTACCTAACTGCACATAGCAGGCCCGGGCTACCCTAGGACAGACAGGCCCTATGGGCCTATTCTGTTAGACAGTCCTATAGCCTATAGCCGGGTCCGGTAGAGGCCGAAACAAATACGGTACCGGTCGGTCAGTCAATCCGGTCTAGGTCGGTGTACGCTAGAAGTAGGATGGGCACATCGGTTCAGGGCTTTTGGCAGTTGGTACCGAGTACATCGCTGCTATGCTACGCGTGAACCGGAAGTGGTGACGGCTCAGCGTTAAAGGAGACGGGCATAGCCAGACCTTCGGAGTGCAGGCCATAGCTAGGACCTGCGTTGTACTCTGCCAGCACGCAGGGGCTGACAGAGGTCTGGGTTATCGAGGTCTGCTGGAGGCGAGAGAGATTGGTGCTCTGCTGGACCCTCCCCCGGAGTGGGGTCCCAAAGAGTTTGCGCTGCAGCCATAGCTGCAGCTTCTTCATCTCAGAGGTCATCTTGTCAGGGTTTGGTGGCGCTGCTGCAGGCTTCCMCCCGGGAAGCCTCCCGACACTTCGTCATCATCAGATACTGTGGCGCTGGTCTTCTTCTTCATCCTTTGAGTAGCGCTTGGCCTCAGAGGCCTGTTTCAGGGTGGCGCTGCCCCATGAGGCTGTAGTTGGGTGCCGCTTGATGTTTCTGGGTCTCAGGGGGTGTTACGGGTGCTAATCAGGGTTGGGGAGTGAAGCGCTGCTCATTTCTGAGCAGCGCACTATTGTATTGAAGTTATCCTAACAATTCGAGACTCTAAGTTTAATAAACAGTGTGATACTGTGTTTGAACTATCATTGTTTCATTGTTCTCTAGATGTGATATGCTCGGTTTTTCTCTATGACTGGTTGTGAGGATTGAGTGGAGTGAATTGCACTTTCAGTGTACCCTGTCATATCGCATGGTCAAATCTTCCACTGTGTTTATCTCTCCCTGTGCGGTGTGATACTCCTATCCTCTCCCCTTCCTTCTGTGTATGTATGGGCATACCTGGAAGTCTATGTGAGTGAGTGTTGGTCTATAGGCAACGAACAACCAGAATCATAACAGGTCCGCCCGCTGTCCTGGCTGCGCCCCCATGCCCAGCGTGGTATCAGTCAAACTTTTTTTCTTTTAATCCCAACGAAACAGCGAGTACTTTCGTTGGAACACAATCCCGGCTGTGCTGAGAAGCAGAAAAAAGACAAAAGATAAGGTGTTGTATCTTTTTTCTTTTTCTTAGGTGCCGTATCTTCCCATGTTCTAGCGAGAGATTCGGAGAGTACGTTTGTTGGATCACGGGCCAGGCAGTAAAGCAGCAGAAAGACAAACAATAAATCATTGTGGTGTATCTTCCCATGTTCTGGCGGAAGATTCATTCTCATCTTGTACATTTATTGGGTAGTGGAGCAAGGTCGTAATGGCAGTGAAGCAAGACAACAGAAGAAATATTCGAACATCTGGCGTAACAGCCAAACAGGAAAAAGGGAAAGACTCGAAAAAAAAAACAAAAAAAGAAATAGGGAAAGATTATCCGCACCTTGGAAATCGGAATGCACCAGGGACCATGGGCGTCGTTAGACACTCTGTCTAACTCCTCGGGGACGCGACTCCAAGGATTTCATCGTCGTTCCACCTGTCCTTGGAGCCGATTTTTGGGGAAAAAAATGTGAAAACACTCCGCGGACAAATCCTCGGGCTCTGAGGATTTCCCAGCCAATTCGTCCTCGGCTCCAAGGGACCTCGCAAGATCCTTCGGAGCCCGAGGATCCGCGATTCATGGGATGACGGGGTCGAGTCCAGAAGGAAAATTGGACAGTGAAGGTGGTCCAGTCGTGGTCCTCCTCGTCGACAACGTCCTGCAACGGCCTCCTCAGTTTACCGTTGCCCGTTGGCGGCGATTCGCCGGACATCCCGGAGGTCAGACAATCCCCCCGCGGCCGTGTATAATCTCATGAAACGGGCCGCGGGATTCGTCCTTGGAGCGATTCTCCGAGGACAGGTGGAACGACGCCTCCAAAAACCACAAATCTCCGAGGTTTCGTCCTCGAAGCCCAAGGACGGGCTGAGGAGTGTCCAACGACTCCCCATGTCCCACTAGATCCATTGAGCTAGGTCTACATTTAGTTTTCGACCCTGTCTGACTGTAGGCAACCACGGAGATGCGGCCGGTTTTAATAAAAAAGGCAATAGAGACTATGGTCCCTTTTTCTTCCAACAAAAAGAAGAAGTAAATCCTTTCTTTCGAATACTACGCCCCCTACCCTCGTGACTTTCCGTTGAGTTAGCTCTCCTTTTTCGAGACCGCCAGCTCAACCACCCTCTTGTTTCCCCAAAAGGCGTTTTTTTTCTGGAGAAACTGTACGAGCCTCCTTCCGTTTGCCATTTTCGTACCGGATTCGGGCAACTCACTCTCCATTTTCTGTTGTGGAAGTGTCCGTATGCCACTCCAATTGTGAAAAAAACAAAAAAAAAAACAGAACCCGCTCAGTGGTGGGAAGCTTTCACCGATTTGCTGGCCGTCACGCCAGAGTGCGCGCACACACAGAGGGCCTCGCCACACCACTGTCGAAATGTGAAAAAGACAAAATTGTGGCGCGCACACCTGGCCATGTTCTAGCGAGCAGTTCATTCTCATTTTGCACTTTTCGAGAGTGGTGTGGCGACGCCCACACACACACACACACACACACACAGAGAGAGAGAGAGAGAGAGAGAGAGAGAGAGAGAGAGAGAGAACGCACTTAGCGGTGGCAAACTTCACGGACGTCAGACGACAAGCGACAAGCGAATTATCTATTCTGCCACGCTCCAACTTTGTCTTTTTGGGTTCAGCTGGGCCTGACCCACATTTACTGACCCAATTGCAATGCCCACCAAATTCAGTCAATTTGCGAAAAAGGAAGAGTGCCTGGGTGGACAACGACCGCCCACTCTGGACCGGTCCTTTATAATTGCACCTACCGGACTACCGGTCATTCCCTTTCTCCCCCCTTCGCCCGGCTCCTTCACAACCCCCGTCCGCTCAGTTTCTATATCAGTCATCTACCTTCCCGCGCGAATCTGTGGGACGAACATTCCCTATTAGGAAAGTGCCAACATACAGCTGCAGCCGGTTCCTGCTGCAAATATAAAGAACTATCTGCCTGTATCTGGACACATAAATGCCTTACATTCATTGTCACATACATAATCATACATCTATTGACTAAGACCGCATTTCTGAAAGGAAAGGAAAGAAAAGGAAAGCAACAACAAACAGAGAAAGAGTTCAGTTTGGGTCACAAGGAAAGTGAGCATAACACCCTCATCTCACCTCATCTCATGTGTTTACCTTTTCGTTTCCTTAGTTTTGTCCCACTGTCCCATTGTCCCATTGTCCCACTGTCCACTGTCCCATACATCATCCTTTTTTCTAAGGGCACATGCATGTATACATGTGGAGTTGTGAACATATATATGTCTGGTGTGGGCGACTCTCTCTCTCTCTCTCTCTCTCTCTCTCTCTCTCTCTCTCTCTCTCTCTCACACACACACACACACACACACAAACACGCACACACGCACAAACACAAAAGACAGAAAAGAAAAAGAAAACGAAAATGAGGTCGCATCATGTGCGGCAGCTACGTTATGCGATCGACCGCCTTAGCCACTCCCCCCAACTTCCCGCTAACCCTCTCCCTTCCCCCCTCTCCCCTCTCACTCTCTCCCTCTCTCTCTCTCCCTCTCTCTCTCTCACACACACATAAAAACAAATATAAAAAAGAAAACGAAAAAGACAACCGAGCCACATGGCATGCCTTTACCCCCCCCCCCCCTTTCCCTCAAATGGTGCACCCGTCCCCCTTTCCCCTGATCCCAACTCCCCACAATGGCTGCACTTCCTCCCCACAAATGGCTGCACTTCTCATTTGCCCTGACCTCAAATCCCCGACTCCCACACCCATCTTCCTTTTCCCTTGACCCACCTCCCCCACGGCTTCCTCTCCCTCCCCACTGCATTACGATCCCTGGTCATCTACCATCATCATGTCCCACACCGTCATGTCGGGCTCCACTTCTTCACGATGTTGCCCTGCCTATGCTCCGTTCCCAAATCAGAGTCAGGAAGTAGAGAGAAACAGAACCACCATTTCCTGCTCCTCCCCTTCCCCCTCGCCCCCCCCCCCTCTTTCTGTCTCTCACACACGCACACAAAATAAGAAAACAAAAAAAAGGAGAAAATGAACAAATCGATCAACCCACATGGCTGTGTATTGTGGGGTGCCTTTAAGCCCCCCACCCTGACTTTTTTCCCCCAACCCTGCCCACGTGGTGAAGCATTTGTCCCTTTACCCACCCACTCCCTTCCCTCAATTGATGCACGCGTCCTCCTTCCCGTGTGCGTGAGCGTGCCCCCGTTAGTGTGTGCGTGTGTGGCCATGTTCGTTGTACACAACTTCACCAAAGGAAGCAGGTGCGTCGAACTTTCACCGCCTGTTCCGTCGAACTTTCACCGACTCATCAGGAGGGTCAACCTCAACAGTATGCTCTGTTTCGTCGAATTTTCACCTACTCATCAGGAGGAGGTTCAACCCCGACAGTCGGCTGTCTCCCAGAGCGGAGGTGAGCGGAGGCGGAGGAGAAGTGGCAGAGGCGGAGAGGAGATGACGGGAGGAGGCGGCGGACGGGAGGTGGGCGGAGGCCGGGGGGGAATTGGCGATCCCAATGGCGGGAGGGAGGTGGGCGGAGGCGGACAGGAGGTCTGCACTGGCCGTGGGGAGTTCTTTTTTTTTTTTAAGGCGGGCAGAGGGATGACGGATTGCGGGCAGTGGAACGGAGGCCAGAGTGGAGGTGAGCGGAGTTGGAGGAGAAGTAGGCGGAAGTGGAGAGGAGATGGCAAGAGGAGGCAGGCGGGAGGTGGCGGAGGTGGAGAGATGGAGGGAGGAGATGGCAGGAGGAGGCGGTCGGGAGGTGGCGGAGGCAGAGAAGGCGGTCGGGACGTGGCGGAGGCGGAGAAGGCGGTCGGGAGGTGGCGGAGGCGGAGAGGTGATGACGGGAGGAAGCGGACGGGAGGTGGCGGAGGTGGCGGAGAAGTGGCGGAGGCGGGGAGGAAAGCGAGAAGGTGGAGGAGAAGTGGGCGAAAGTGGAGAGGAGATGGCAGGAGGAGGTGGACGGGAGGTGGCGGAGGTGGAGAGGAGATCGCAGGCGGAGAGGAGAGGCGGAGAGGAGAGGCGGAGAGGTGATGGCGGGAGGAGATGACGGCAGGGGGCGGACGGGAGGTGACGGAGGCGGAGGAGAAGTGGCGGAGGCGGGGAAGAAAGCGAGAAGGTGGAGGAGAAGTGGGCGGAGGTGGAGAGGAGATGCCAGGAGGAGGCAGAGGGAAGGTGGCGGAGGCGGAGAGGAGATGGCGGGAGAGTTGGCGGGAGGAGGCGGACGGGAGGTGGCGGAGGCGGAGAGGTGATCGAGCGAGGAGATCGCGAGAGGAGGCGGACGAGAGGGAGGAGGCGGATGGGAGGCGACGGAGGCGGAGAGGAGATGGCGGGAGGAGGCGGACGCGAGTTGGCGGCCCTGCAACGGGCTGCAACGGGCCAATGCGCCGCCTTGCAACTGAACAATGGCCAGCAGGGCCCTCTGTTTCAACGGGCGCCCCGATCCATGCCACCCGAGGTCCTACCGACCGGGCCGATGACTCGGATCGTCCCGCGATCTTAAGACTTTTAAGATCGCGCAACGATCCAGGCCGTCCAGGCGGCGGACGGCCTAGATCGTCGCTCTAGATCGTCGCACGATCTTAAAGTCTAAGTGTTAAGATCGCGCGAAAATCCACAGGCAGCCGGATCGCCCAATTCTCCCGTTAGCGATTTCTATAAGTGTAGGGATGTGTAGGGATGTTGAACTTCAAAGCACGCGGCGTCTACAATGCTCTCCCCACTCGCTGATCTTTCTCCTCTAGCCATGTATCTGTTCTGACCTGTCCGTCCACAGATTCCGTACCACACCCGCTCTCTCTCTCTCTCTCTCTCTCTCTCTCTCTCTCTCTCTCTCTCTCTCTCTCTCTCTCNCACACACACACACACACACACACACACACACACCGCCAGACCTCCTCATCTTCCTTTTCTCGCGCCCATCCGCCTTCCTCCAGGCTTTTAGGCAGTGCCCCCGCCGCTCGGAGAATACAGGCGTTCAGAAAGGGAGGAACGTCGGGGGAGGCGGACGGCGGAAGAACCCGGGGGAGAGGGAATGGGCGGAACAGGGACGGCGGAAGAACCCGGGGGAGAGGGAATGGGCGGAACAGGGACCTCGCGGGAGGGGGCGGGGGGAATGGCGCCAGGCTGGAGGGCATTAGGAGGTGTGGTGTTGAGATAAGCGTTTGCGAGGGTGCGGGCACAGTCATAAGTGATGGGAAACGAAAGGACCATAAAACAGCGGGAGAGCGTGGAGAAGCAGAAAGAAACTGACAGAGCTCAGAACGGAGGAGGCATCATCACTAAATGATAGAGGGGAGTGCTGCGAGGAGTGAAGCTTGGAGTACGGAAGTCAGATAAATAGAGAGAGAGAGAGAGAGAGAGAGAGAGAGAGAGCAGGTTTGTTATTGGTCATGTAGCAGCTCAGATTCGTGAAGTGAGAACAGGCCACTCTAGAAGCAATAGCACACATTCTCTCTTTTTCTTTCAAACAAAGCAAATGACACAAACTTCAACATATTTTTTTCTTTTTTCTTTTTTCTTGTTTTCTTTTTTCTTGTCTTCAGAAATTTGTTCTTTTTTTCTTTTTTTTCTTTTTTTTTTCTTTTTCTTTTTTTCTTTTTCTTTTTTTCTTTTTTTCTTTTCGTTTTTTTCTTTTTTCCTTCTTCTTTCTTCAACTCCACATCTGTTGGCAGTATCGAAAGCTTTATCTGTCCTACAATTAGTGTTGCTCCTGACCTGCTTCTTGATTCTATTGACCAGTCAGGAAGAGGAGGCCCCACCCCACCCCAGCAGATAGGACAGGCACGTTGAGGATGACGTGGATATACATATATTGTCACACTGAGAATCGGAGCGCAAAGGCGGAAAAAGGCAATACAAGGAAAGGAAAAGAAGGAAGGAAGGAAGGAAAGCCCCACCTGTTCATCACCTCTTACGTACAAGGCCAGCGACGTGGATGACAGGTTGAGCGCTGGCTGCCCCCATCCAGTGGGTAGAGGTTGATGGGCAGGCAAATAAAGACGGAGAGAAACAAAGACAGAGAGACAGGCAGACGGAGAGACGACAGTATACCTACCATGCAGCGTTGTATTGACACTGTCATTGGGCCTCGCTCGACTACTCACCAAACGTGCAAAATGAGAATGAATCTTCCGCTARAACATGGAAAGATGCACCGCCATAATTTTTGTCTTTTGTGCATGTGGCGAGTAGCGGAGCGAGGCCCATTATCTTCCAGAAGAAACCAATCAACGACATATCCACAGAGCAAGATATTCGGCGAGCATGAGTGAGGTTGGGGCCGCAGCGAGAGAGAGGGCGAAACACAGGTCAGTGCAGGCGGGAGGGTGCTCACAGGCATGTATCTGCGGGGCACTTACAGGCAAGCAGGCACCATGCAACAGCGGGAAAGGATGGACAGAGTGAAACAATTCCGTGCAATCGAGCGAGCGGGTGTGTGTGTGTGTGTGTGTGTGTGTGTGTGTGTGTGTGTGTGTGTGTGTGTGT